TTTTCAGTTTAAGATTTTTGACCAGCAGTCTCTTACCTGTATATTTGTAAATAATATCATGTTTCTGTGAAAATGTATTATCAAATAAAATGGAAGGAAAACACCTTTTCTAGCCAGTAGCTGTGGCCGTTTCTTCCTTGTTTGGCCTGTGAGTTTTACTGCTTGTCCCCTGTCCTTGGCCCCAGTGCTTGTCACGTGGATGTCCTAGCGACGTGGCTGTGGGCGCAGCTGTACCCCTGGCTGCAGTCAGAGCGCGGTGCTCCCTGCCGTCTGAACATGCACGTCAGCTTGTCACCTGAGCTGTCGAACCTGCTCGCCGGGCTTGCTCAGACCCCGGGCCCCAGAGTCCAGTGAGGACAGGCCCCAGGCGCAGGCGGCATCGTCGGCAGGACGCCTGGTGGGCGCTGTCCGACCGCAGGGCCCCCCGCCACGCTCCGGAGCTCATCTTCCAGAGCGTCCTGTGAACTGACAGGAGACCGTTTCCTCCGCAGCAGACAGAGCTGGCACCGGGGCCCCGCACACTAGCAAGGGAGGTGTTTGTTGACTTCAATAAAATCAAGACGTCGAGATGCATTTCCTTCCCCCATTATCGGTAACAGACTTGTTCAGGATGAGCATTTCAGGGTTGGAGACACATTAAGCTGTTCTACAGAAATTATAATGACGCCTGGTTTCCAGGCTGGGCCTCGAGGTTCACGCTTACCCCCGCTGTGGAGTCAGGGAGCAGTGGGGGCAGGGGTGGGGAGGCGATGCTGGGGTTGCAGACACAGGATCTGCCTGCCTGGCTGAGCCTCGGGAACGTCCAGGGAGGAGGCAGGTGGCTGAAGGAGTCAGAGACCAGAGGGAATGGCCCGGGACCAGGTGCTGGGGACCCCCGCACTGAGGGGCTGGGCGGCTGAGCGGGGTGCTGAACCACAGGGACCGGGAGTCACCGGGCATCCGCAGCCCCCGTGGCGGTCGGTCCAGGGGCCGCCTGGAGGGCGGGAGGAATCAGCCTCCCCTCAAAGGGGGAGGGTTCTTTCTGAGACCGTCTGGTGCTGCTAGGGAGACGGCACCGGCCTTGCGTCTTAACAGAAACATGATACTATTTACAGATACACAGATACACCTGATGGCAGGTGGTCACAACTGCATGGAGGAAAAGACAAAAGTGGGAGTGGAGGCGAGGGCAGAGGGCGCAGCAAGCCGGCATCTCTAATGAGGTGATGTGGGGCCAAGACCTACAGGGAGTAAAGAGGTGTGGGAGGGAGCTGTGGGGCTGTGGGGACCGCAGGGAGCAGGTGCAAAGGTCCTGAGGCAGGAGTGTGCCTGGAGTGGTGGAGACAGAGCCGGAGGTCAGGGGCTCTAGCAGGATTAGGGGAGTGGGTGGGGAGGAGGGGCCTGGGCAGGGCCAGCAGGCCAGGGTGGGGAGCAGGACTTGTGCCCCCAGAAGCGTGGGGCAGGTGGCGCCACCCCTTCTCCGGTTTAGGATCAGCGTGTAGGAGGCAGGGTGGGCACAGGACAGCCAGGTGTGTCGGTGTCCTGCACGGCCCCAGTAGGGGCCGAAAGCGCTAAAGTTTATCCTCTCAGTTGTAGCGGCAAGAAGTCTGAGAGCCGGGTGTGGTCCAGCTGGTTCCTCCTGGAGGCGCTGAGGGCAGATCTGCTGCTGCCGCTCGGCTCCTGGTGTCCTTGGCTTGTGGCTGCGCAGCTCCCATCTCTGCCTGCACCCCTCTGTGTGCTTCCCCCCTTCCCACCCCTCTGAGGACACTCGTCATTGGACTCAGCCCCACCCAGACAGTCCAAGGCGGCCTCGTCTCCAGCGCCTTAACCGTGTTTCCAGCTGCAACAGCTTCTTTCCAGATCAGCTCTCGTTCTCAGGTTCCTGCTGGACATGAACCTGGGGGGACACCATTCAAGCCCATCACCATGTGCCTGGGGGCCTGTCCCCTTCTCAGCACTCTGCGAAATCACAGTCCAGCCTAGATTCGGTGACGCACAGTAACTTGGCTTTTTCTCAGCTTCACAACGTGCCAACCGCTGCGAGTAGCTGTGAACTGCGCAGCGGAGCCGGAGATCAGCGGCCGCACGGTCAGACGCGAGCAGGCAGGGCAGACCTGCCGGCGCTCCGCTGGCTCCGTGCCTGGAGCAGACCCCTAAACCTGCATCCCCGCACTTGCTCCCTTCCTTTAAGGCTGTGCTTCCCACCCAGACAATACACCCTTTTAAAGCATACAGGTCAGTGGCTTCCAATATATTCACCATGCTGTGCAATCATCAACCACGCTCTAATTCCAGAACATTCCCATCACCCCAAAATAAACCACCAACTCCTTACCCGTCAGCCCTCCCCTCCCTCTCCCCCAGCCCCTGGCAACCACCAACCCTGCTTCCCGTCTCTCTGGACTTGCCAGTTCTGGACGTTTCCTATAAACAGAATCATACACTACGTGGCCTTTTATTCCTGATTTTTCCCCTTATGTAGTGCTTTCCAGGCCCTCCCAACGCCACAGCATGCACCAGAACTTCACCGCTTTTTAGGGCTGAATGATACTCCATTGTATGGACACAAAACTTTTCATTCATCAGTCGATGGACAATTTGGGCTGTTTCCACTTTGGGGCCATTATGAATAATATGCAAGTTTTTGTGTGGATGTAGGTTTTCAGCTTCGGTTCGTTTTTTAAACTGGGAGAAGCTACACACGTCCACACAGGGGTGCCAGTAGACTAGTGCCCAGCACACAGGAACTGGATGACAAGCCTGGAAGGGGGTGCAGGGCGTCTCCCAAAAACTCCCCCTTCCAGCACCTGCACCCCAATTTTCCTCTGGAGAGCCACCCCTCCCCACCTTGGGGGTGGAGGTGGGGCTGACAGGCTCTCAGCCCAAGACGCAGGCCAGCCGATTAGAACTCACCTCCACTCAGCCTGGTGATGGGCCTCCTCTTCTGGGCAGGAGTTGGGAGCAGACAAGGTCAGCCTCATGGAAGAATGCAGCCAAAGGGAGGAAGCGGAGCCCAGAAAAGGAGTCTCTGAGACCAGAGCCCCTGGAACCAGCCATGCCTGAAGCCAATATCCTAGTTTTCCCTTTTAGTCTGGGTTTCTCTGAGGCACCTGAATTGACCACGGGGCCAAGGGGCCAGAGACCCATTCTGGACAGAAGATGAAACTCAGCCTGAATGTCTCAAAGCCCATCCCACAGACAACCGCAACAGTTAGAAGGTCTCCTCTTCAAATACTGAGAGATGAATACAAGGGATGGGGTCCACATCACTAAACCCCCTGGACTGACAGAGACGGGGGGGTGGTTTCTGAAGGAGGCGCTGAAGTCCAAGAAGGGGAGAGTGGATGGCAGGCAAGGCTGGTTCAAGGGGCTCAGCAGAGATGACATCCGTGTGTCTCTGTGTACACGTGGTAAATGGAAAAACATATTTGTTTCATGGGGGCTTACTGCTTTCTGCTTTTTGTTTCCCAGAATTCGTTTTCACTTAACAATATGTCTGAGTAGCCACGCTGTTACACCTGGATCCAGTCCGTTCTTTCCCACTTCAATATAGTGGTCCATCTTTGCAGTATATCTGGGTATGGTCAGCCCAGGGCAGCCGCCGGCTTATACACTGCCTGTGGGTCTTAGAAAAGGTGCCCATTTCTCCAGAGGGACATGGTCCCACTCCAAGAAACACAGGCCAGCAAACGGTGCAGGGGGGCCTCCCAGAGTCACCCTGGTCCTTGACCACAGGTAGCCCCATCATACGGTTAGACAGTTTTTGATTTTACTATTACATCCTGCGTTAGCTTTCTTGTGCAAAGACGAGAGTGTTTTTCTGGGGCAGACACCAAGAATGCTGGGCCATAGAAAATGTACTTTTTAAATTTTAATAGCTGCTCCCTGATGGCCTTCCAGCAAGGCTGTACCAGCTGGCGGTCCCTCCAGCAGCACCAAAGCCCCCACTTCCCTCCTCAGCGTGTGATGATATACGACTTTCTCAACATTGCCCATCTGATGGGTGAAAAGTGGCTTTTCCTCGGTGCTTGGATTCTGGCCACGTTCAAATGCCAGAACTCAGTGGCAGGCTTGAAGAGAAAACAGCTTCATGGTATCACATAGCCCCCGCCATGAAGTGACGCGTCCCCGGATGTCTAGCCAACCATGGTTCCCGCACCGTTCACCAGCCACCATCTGGACCTATCTGGGGAGAACCAGGTCTGTCTGGAGGCCCTTCTTATGTTTGTGACCCTAAGACACTGTCTCTTCACCACCTTCCATGTTAATGCCTCCTACAGCCCCTCAGCCAGCACTCCCCCTCCAAGTCCTCAAATGCAGGAAGAGCTCTGTTACACGATGGGGTCGACAGCTCCAGCATCTCTTCTGAGCCCCTTGATCCAGCCCTGCCTGCCATCCACACGCCTTTACTCTGACGTCAGCATCTCCAGCTTCCTTCAGAAAACCCTTCCCACCATCAGCGCAGGCAGTTCAGCTCATGTCCATCCCCTGGCCACACGGTTGGTTCAGGGATGGACACACGATTCACAGCATCCAATGAGACAGCCCTGGGACTGTGGCTTGAGAAACTGGCTACTGGGTTTCCTAAGCTGGAAGAGTGTGGGGCAAAGCTGCGCGCCCTGTGTTTGCTGCCATTTCGAGAAATCTTGCCCGAGGATGAAGCCAACACAGAGATGGAGAGAGAGACCGTATTCCAATCACGTTCTTGTGCAACTTGATCCAGCCTTGCCTGACGTCAGTGTGCTCTAAGATGCCCCAGTTTAACGAGCCCATAAATTTCCTTTCCTTGTCTAGAGCCAGTCTGAGCTAGGTTTCTGCCACTGGCACTTGAGCAAAGTTGGGGGATGTGTCCGTGAAGGGTCACCGTATGCAGGGTGCCTCACTGCCCACAGTCTCCACACGCCAGTATAATGGTCTTCTGAGCAGACGCAGAATCTCCATGCTCAGAAGGGGCCACTGAGGCTCTGAGACAAACAGGAATAGGAGGAGCAAGACCCCAGCTGGCGGAGGACAGTGGGGAGGGGGCTCTGCCTGGAACCCAGTCCTCATCTGGGTAGAAGGGACCCCTGTCTTGGCAGCACCAGCTATGATTGGGGGAGGGGTGAAGTGATGGGGGAGGGGAGCAGTTGTAGCCCAGTAGGGTGAGAGGTATTTGCATTTGAATCTCAGCCCCGCCCACCACCACTCCCACCTCCACCCTCCACCCCTGTGCCCTGTCCAATATCCTTTGGCTCTGTGACCTTCCAAGTCCCTCTGGGCCTCACTTTCCTCATTTGAAAAATGGGAATGATAGTTTCTGTCTCAAAAGATGTGAGAAGTGAATGAGATTAAATACAGTAGGCGCTGAGCACGTGCCGGGCACACACTAACCTCCCAAGAGGCGTCAACATTCCCCTCCCCAACTCCACAGTGACCACAGACCCCGGCCCTCGCTGACTCCCAACTGCGCCCAGACCCCACCAGGGTCAGTGCCGCCCCCGCCCCGCGCCCCGCGCCCCCTTATTCTCTCGCCCCACCCCCACCCACCCGCCCTGGCCCGGCTCCTCCCACTGCCCCACCCCCAGCCCCTCCCTGCCCTCACCCCACCCCCGACCCCTCCCACGCTCCCACCTCACCCTCCACCCGGCCCCCACCTCTCACTCCCATTCAGCCCCCACCTCCTTTCTATCGCGGTGCTAGGGCTCCACCAAGCGTCCGCCCGGCCCGCTGAGGAAGCCGCT